GCTGCGGGCCGCCAACCGCGCGGGGCCAGACCCGCGGCAGCGCGTCCGCAGAACTGCGGTCGCGGGAGGAGACAGCGAGACTCCGCGGATCGTTGCCCGGCTGGGCTCTGGGGCCGCGGCGACCGCCCCTTCTCCGGGGACTTGGCAGTGGAACCCCGTCAGCGGGAGGGCGCGAGAGGAGCAGGTCGGCTGCTGGGGCGGGGGAGCGTGTATGTGTGTGCAAGGGCGCTCGCGTGCCTGTAAGGGCTGGGTGGGTGTGTAGGGGGATGGTGGTGTGGGATGCGAGTCTCTGTGTGGTGTGTGAATGTCTCTGTGTGGTGTGTGCAAGGGTGTGAGGGCCTGTGTGTGACTGCATATACAGGGTGTCTGTGAGGGTGTGTGTGTGGGGGGGGGGAGGGCGGGAGAGACATGGAGGGGCCCCGAGCTCACACAGAGCTTGGATCTGAACCCATGTAGGAAGGAAGAGGGCTCCACGGGGCTGAATGTGATGTGATGAGTGTGTGCTGCACGCACACACGCGTGTGCACGCAGGGTGTGTGAAGGGTGAGTGGGTGAACGTGTCACGGGTGCTAGGTGTGGCTGTGCGTGTGATGTAAGGATGTGGGGTGCACGTGTGTCCCTGACTCATCACCCCTCCCCCTCCAGATGTGTATGCATGAGGGGGTAGTTGTGGGGGAGGTGGGAGTGCACAGCAGTAGCTTGCCAGCTTGGTGCGGCTGCCCCAGGAAGGCAGAGATGGCCAAACTGCCCCTCCCCCAATACTTCTAGGGGAAGGGAGTAGGGGAAGCCCCCAGAGCCAGGGCAGAAGTAGAGGGTTGGCTGGTCCCCTGTCTCTGCCTATCACTCCGCCTGGGCTTTGCCCTGGCTGGTCCGTGCTGCCTGGTCTGAGTGAGTGAGATGGCCAGCTCTTAGATTGGGGCTGGAGGTGGGGGTGGGATTGGGTGAGACTCGTCCCTGAGAGTGAGCTTGTACACAGTTGTGTTGTCAAAAGAGTGCTTGGCACATAGTAAGCTCAGGAAATATTGGATAGAAGGGATAGAGAGAGGAGAGGGAAGGGAAGGACCTGAATCTGGATGTCAAGCACACCCCTTTGCAACTGATTGTAGTCAGCTCCCAGATGGAGCAGGTGGAGGGAAACGGGAGTTAGGGTAAGGGCGCCTTTACTGGAAGACAAGGGAGACTGCAGGGCAGAGGTCTGTGCTGGGGCCTGAAGATACAGGGATTGGTGGTGCTCCCTGGACAGAACCCATGGCCCCTGGCCCTCCACCTCCTCTCTGATCAGAAGCCTCCTTGGCGCAGCTGATCCTAGGATGGGAGCATAAGGTGGCCAGAGCTCACCGTGCCTTTCCTCTTTCCAGGACCTTGGCACTTAAAAGGTGCTGAAGAACTGAGCCCCCTCCCCACTCGGCCCCACAGGCCAGGTGGGGCCATGGCAGGGCACGGCTGTCTGGGGCTGGGGCTGTTCTGCTGGGTCCTGATTGCTGTTCCTGTGGGCCCCCAGCTTGCCTCCTCCATCCCAGGTGCCCCTCTGGCCACTTTGACCCCCCCACCCCAGAGTGAGACCTCTATACTGTCTCTCAACCTGGGACTTAACTTCAAATTCCATCTTCGGGGACCTGCCGCTGCCTGGGGAAACCCTGTCACAGAAACCCAGCTCTCTCCAGGGTCCAGTCAGGAGCCAGAGGAAGAGGTGGCCAGTGGACTAAGGACCGACCCCCTTTGGGAGCTGCTGGTGGGTTCCTTTGGCAACTCCCCTCCAGAATGGGGCTCTGCTGAAGGCAGCTCAACCCCCTGGGCCTCCTCCCTGCCTCTCCAGTCCACAGCCCCTCTCTCTGCACCCACTGACCAGCCCACTGCTCCCTATCTGCGAGGGATGAACACTGTGACTTGGGATACTGCTCTGATGGCTACAGCACCCCCACCCAGTGTTCCCAGGCCTCCCCAAAGTGAGCTGGAGCTGAAGTTTGATGTTGCACTGAGAGCAGGTACAGCCCCCACACTTGGGCATCGAACGCTTCCTCTGCTGCCCAGCCTGCGTGCCAGCTTGGCAGAGATTGCTGGGCGCCTGGGCCCCTTTGGTGAGTAGCCACTGCGTCCCTACCAGAGTCCTGCAAGGCAGTCCCTGCAGGTAGGAGGAAGCTTCAGACTGGCTCCTTTGCAGGGTTCTTTGGCACTACTCTGTCCCCGCTCCGGAACTTCTCGGGCCCAAGCCCCTCAGACCCAACTACATCTCCGCCCCCAGGCTCTTCCTCTGGAATCTCAGATGCTCCGGGTGAGTATTTATTTCATTGCAACAAACATTTATGGAACACCTCACATGCAGGCTCTGTGCTGGGGCCCCCCAGCACCTCCCTTTCTTTGAAGACTCACGGGAGGCTCACATTGCCTCTCCCAGGCCCTGGGCACTGCCTACTGCTCCCCTGGTGAATACCCTCTTTGCCATACTGAATCTGGTTTGGTCCCTGAGGCTTAGCTCATGGTATATTTGTGGCTATAACTCCTGGTGCAAGCTCTGGGGAAAGATAGGATTTCCGTAGCTGTGCCCCAGAGGTCAAGGTCAAGGCCCCATGTGCTCCCTTTGCAGGGTTCTTTGATCCCACTCTGTCCCAGTCCCCAGCCTCTCTGGAGAGAAAGCTCTCAAGTCCAAGCCCACGGGAGCCAGCTGCTTCCCTAAGCCCTGTCTCAACTATAACCACATCACAAGGTGAGTGTTCCAAGCCTTTGAAAATGACAGTTCTGTACTGAGTACTTAATACATGCTAGCTACTCCCTGGCATTCTGGGACCTTTTATTTCATTGTCATCATCACCGTAGTCACCATTCTCTTCATCTTCACCATGGAGATATGTATTAATGGCCTGAGAGCAAGTGCTACCGGGGACTTAAGTAATAGTCTCAGGGAGCTGTGCAGTTACACGCAGAGCGGGGTGTAGACAGATGAGGGGCATGCAGGAACTCCCTGTTTCCATAGCCTCCCCACTAACCCACCCTCCACTCCACTCAGCCTTTCCGGGCCTGCTCTATCCTCCCCCAACCTCGGGGCGCCCTCCCTTGCCTTCTGATCTGATGTGACAGGCTGCCAGACCTGGACGCAGGGCCCCTCACTGGGAAGACACTGAGGTGGAGGCCTGGGGCCAGTGGGCACCATCCCTGCTCAAGGGAAGCTTCCAGATGTGCATGTGGAGGACCTCCCATAGCAGAGGAGGTCAGGGGCTCTGAGCTGGAATCCCAAGCCACTTCAATAGCTGGGTGACCTTGAGCAGGTTGTTTAACTTTTCTAAGCCTAATTTTTCTCTTGTATTTAGGGTTTAATAGCAGTACCTATTTTGTTACTGTGAAGCATCCAGGTCATGTGAGCTCCTGGCATGAGCCTGGGCCCCAAAGAGAATCTCGTTAGATAGTAGCTGCAAACCTTGCCTCATTCCTCCCTGCATCCTCAAAGCACTCCCAGACCCTGCCTCTCAGACCCCATACCCCTGACTCTAAAACTCATAACCCACAGGGCAGAGGGCACACTGTTCTGGGATGGGCTTTGGGAGCTAGGGAGAGGGACTTCCGGCCCAGTTTGCTCTGCAAAGGGTGTGCTGTGGCTGTGAGTCCGATCAGCCACCCTACACTAGGAAAACAGATCCCCACCTTCCTCCAACCCCAGACTTAACCCAGCACCTGACTCTCTCCTGAGTGGTCGCTGCACTGCCTGGCATGTGGGTGAAGAGCCTGCCATCTCCTCCCCTACCAGCCCAGTAGCAGTGAAATCGGGGACAGGCTCTGTGGCCTCTGGGGAAGGATGGTGTCTGGTGGTCTGTCAGCCCTGGTGACAGCACTGGCCTGGCAGGTTCAAGAAGTCTGGAGAGTGTCGGAGGCAGCCCAGCTCAGCAACAGGCAACACCCTCCTCTGCCCCCCTCCTCACTGATGGCTGAGGGAACCCAGCCTTTTCTTGGCTGTTCCTCTTTGAGAAACCCTGCAGCATACAGGCCTCCTGGAGAGAAGGCCAAAGAGCCTTACTCATGCCAGTGGCAGGTATGGGGATTGGCAGGAAGTTAGGGGACAAAGGGAGTCTCTGTGTCTCCTTTAACCTGGCTGCAGCTAACCTCTGACCCGAGGGCTTCTCTTCTATTAGGTCCCCTTCACCTTGACAGAGCTCCTATTCAGCCACTAAACCCTGGGACAGTTGTGCAGGTTGTTAACATACTCTCTGCCCTGGCGGCTGCACCACACCTGCTCTGAATTGTGGGCACTTGTACATTTCCAGTGGTTAAATATTTCGAATGTCATCCTTACCAAGAGTACCAGTCCTTCAGGACCCAGAGGGGGGAGCGAAGAGAGGGAGCCAGGCCACCAAGCAGAGTTGCAGCTCCGCCATCCAGGACTGTGAGTGATCCATGGTGGCAAGTGACACTACAGCCCTTTGATCTGGGCAGCTGGTGGACAATCAGGCCTGACTTTGCCTCTCCCTGACTCTTCCCTCTCCCCATCATGCAGGATGACAGCTCATCTGCCCTGTGCCCTGAGGTCAGGAGGAGCCAGAGTATAAAAGAGGCCTGCTCAGGAGAGGAACTCTAGCAAGACACTGTCCTTCTGGAACCTCAAACAGGAAGACAGGCAGTGAGGTCAGGGGGATTCCTCAGAGGCAGAAGCTGGGTCCCTTCACCTGGCCCAGTGCTGGGTACCTGGGACGTGCCCCGCCCCCAGAAGCATTACTCCAAGTTCAGAACTCCTGACACCTGAGCTGTGCCTGTCTTTTGCCTGTTTTCTGGCTTCTTGGGCATGTGGAGCTTTGTTCTAGCTGCCATAGCGCTTCGGACAGGTGAGCGATGGGGTTTCCCGTGGCTCTTGGTGAGAAGTGGACTGGAAAACAGGCCCCTGAGAGCTGCACCCAGTGAGCAGGGCAGAGGGCTGCAGGCACCCAGCCGCTGCAGCCCCGGAGCTCCTGGGCAGGGCCTCCCTGACTCACTGCAGAGTCCACCTAGGCCAAGCATTCACTTTGCAGAAGCAGGTTGGTCCGGGGCATCCAGAGGGCACAACGTGAGGGGCAGGAAGTATGTGATTTGATTCCTTGAGTGTCATTTTGATGCCCAGTCGGAGTCCTTTCCCAGCCGAGTGTGTCCTCATTCAACTTCACTAGATGTTAGTCCCTCTGAACGTGGGCTTTAACAGGAGCGCGCAAGGGAGAGAGAACGTGCCGACGTCTACTCGTTTGACTTTTTTTTCAAAAATAATATAATAGTTTCTTTTTACATCATTTTGTGCCTTTTTCCATCTCAGTTGTAATCCCCGTGGGCTTCCCATCACCAAATCACCCATGTGCCATCACCATAGTCCAGTGCATTTCCCTCTCCCCACTGTTTTTGATCCCATTCCCCACTCCACCCCCATAAAATGTCTCTGGTATATGGCTGTTCATTATTATTATTATTTTCTCGCCTGGCCCGTTATACTCCTGCTATGAATGAAACCATCCGGTATTTTTCCTGTTCTTTCTGGCTTATCTCACTAAGCATGATCTTTTTCAGCTCCATCCATGTTGCTGCAAAAGGCATGTGCTTTTTTTTTTGGTTGCTGAGTAATATTCCATTGTGTATATGTACCACATCTTTTTAATCCAGTCATCCACTTTTGGGCATGTGGGCTGTTTCCATGTTTTTGACTAACTTTTTAAGCCAGTTAGGGTGTGCCAAGAAACAGCATCCTTTTAACAATCAAGGACAACTCTGAGGCCAGAAATAGTCACACTTGCACAAATACAGACCCATAACGGATCAGTGATGAGCAATGGCTGGGAGATAATACCGACAACAATCCCATGTCGACTGCTTAGCATGCACCAGGTCCTGCAAAGACCTTTGCACACATCGCCCACTGATCTTAACAGCCCTGTATGGTAGAGCAGGTTCCCGTCCCCATGTCAGACTGAGGACTGATGGCCTGGGAGCTAGGACACCCCCTGCCCCTTGCAGCAGGCAGTGAATTGAATTTTTTGACTGTTCCTACCCTGCCCTGCGTCATTGCCTACGCCTTCCCTTGCTCTCAGGGCTGCTCTCAGCCTGAGGTGGTGCTGCCTGGGTTGGGGTACTCCTGTGTGTTCCTGTATTGTCCAACTGAGGCTGGGACTCACCAGGAATCTGGTTGTCAGAAGGCCCTTGCCCTCATTCAAGTCTGCCTCCTGCGCAACTCCCTAGCCACACCTGGCTCTCCCCACCCTCATTACCATCCTCTTCTCTCCCTTCTTGCCTACAGTTGCAGTTCTGCTGAGTCTGCTTATGGAGGAAAATAGGGGTTCAGCCTCCAGCATCTTCTCTTGTTGCCTGGTCATGGGAGATTCCTTGGGGCTAGCTCTTTCTAACTGCGCTCTTGCTCCAGGAGAGTAAAATTAGGGACCTTACCCTTCACCCTCTTACCTGATGGCCCTTGACCCAAGGGATGTGGGAAAGAAGAGACTAGGCCTGAATTAGCAATCGCTAGAGCACCTGTGGGCTCACTGACCAAAAGGACATTTTATTCCACTGTGACTCCCCCAATGCTCCTTCCTGTTCAAGTTCCTATTGAGACCCAGGAGAGCTCCTCTCAATGTGAGGGTGAGCCAGGAAAATTTGGCAGGGCCAAGGGTTAGGGTGTAGCTGGAAGAAAGGCCAGTGATTAGGTTAGGTTGTGTTCAACCCTGAAGTGTTTCTCCACGGGAGTCAGGGGTGCAGAACAAGAGACAGACACATGACTGCTGTGAGCAGGCTCTGGAATCTGGGAAACCGGCTCAGATTGGCACTCAGATCTGGATTCTACTTTCAGCTCTGACAGCTGTGACCCTGGCCCCCTCACCTCTCCACAGAGCCTCAGTAAATAAGAGGCCATATTTTAAGATTATTATTATAGTTTATTTTTACATTATTTTGTGCCTTTTTCCACCTCAGCTGTAATCCCCGTGGGCTTCCCATCACCAGATCACCGGTGTGCCATCACCATAGTCCAGTGCACTCTGTCCTCCCCCGTTTTTGATCCCACTCCTCACTCCACCCCCGTAAAATGTCTCTGGTATACAGTTGTTCATCATTATTATTTTTTTCCCCTCACCCTTTATGCTCCTGCTATGAGTGAAACCATCCGGTATTTTCCTTTTTCTTTCTGAGGCCATACTTGTTTTAAGGACTATCTCTGAGTGCTAGCTCTGTCTAGGGCATCATCTTAGGCATGTAGATTTAGATGTGAGCAAAGCAAATACAAATCCTTGTTCTTGTAACTTTTCTTTCTGGTGAGAGCATTGAACTAGAGGGCTTCTCCATTTCTTTCCGGGGGTAAAATACTGTGATTTCTTAAGAAAACCCCTTTGCAGTGGAATCAAAGAGTGATGAAGGGGGAATTGAAGCGCAGAGTTTGGGCTGGGTTAGGTGAGGGGGGCGGGGGTGGGGGTGGGCGTGGGGGTGACAGCTGAAAACTACCGCGTGAGGATTTGGGTAGAGAGAGGCTGAGACAGATGCATCCTGGAAGCTATGAGGACGCTGGCATGCCTAGCCCAGTGTGCAGGCCAGGGCAGCACAGTTGCCTCAGTGGAACTTTCTTGCCTACAGATCCCACCCTCCCCATGTCTGGCCCAGCTGACCCCTCTCCTGCCAGCCCTGGGAACCCTTCCGTGCCAGAGTGTGGGCCAGCGTCCTGCAGCATTGGACAAATGCCGGAACATGATGCCCAGCCACCGGCAGCCCCACTGCCTCTGTTCTTCCTGACCCTGGAGGCCGACTGGGCAGAAGCCCGGGCGCGCTGGGGGCTGGCTTGGGAAGCTCACGTGTACGGGGTAGGGGCGCTCTTCGGCCTCGTGGCCCTGCTGGCCCTGCTGGCCCTGGCCCTCCTGCCCTGGCGCTGCCCGCCCGGCGCCCCCTGCCTGGCGCTGCTGGACCTGCTCCTGCTCTCGGCTGGGACCACGCGCGCCTTTCCGCTCTTCTACGACGCCTACGGACACCGCGACCGGCTGCCGGCGCTCGCCTGCCTGCTGC